AAAACATGAACTGCATAGATGAAATAAGCATGTAAAACCTCATATAGGAATGTGTGAACTGCAAAGAAACGTTTCACAAAAACTTCTTTCAAATTCTTTGCCGATCCCTCGCTTTCGACCAGGCGATTGCTCCTCTTCGATCCCGTTAATACCTGGAATGAAAGCGATCGATGGCATCTGCCACTTTGGAAAAGATCTGAAGATTAAGTGCAAACCCATTTTTAAATTGTGATAATAATCGTTATGGGTTTTGAAGGAGCTCTCAGTGCTGATTTGAATAACGTAGACTGGTTTTCAAATATCAAATTTGAAAAAAAAAAACTCAACTTCTTCACGAGGAATTCAAATGGAAGAATAACTGGGTATTTGAAATCAGCATAGCAACTCTATACAATCATGATATCAGTTTATTAGAGGCATCGAAATACCTCAGGAGAAACTTAATCTGATTTCACTATCAAACCCTCGATTTCGACCAGGTAATTGCTTTTTACCTATTAGGAGAGTGAGGGACAGGGTGCATTTGGGAGAAATAGAACGAAAACTTGTATTTCACCACTCCAAAAAGCTCCCGGTGATGATCATAGCTGTTCCAAACTTTATTCCGGATAACATGATACCAAACAAACAAACAAAAAATTGTGAATTTCTTCTTGCTTCTCTATAAACCTGAGCGGATAGATCGGGAAGCCTATTCAGCCCATTTCGGTGCCTTTCCCAAGTGTTTCCTCCAGACAGGTGGTCACTTCAAAGCAGGTCTGATATGTGGTTGAGCAAAACTGCTCAACAACATGGTCCCTTTTCCGGAAAGCAGGAGCTCGGTACAATCTCCCCGCAAAATGCAACCCTGCTCAGCGAGGCCCATATAATCCCCTTTTTTGATACCAGTTTTTTGGCTTTTCTGTAGCCCACTACGACGAATACAGCGGGAGGGGTGCTTTTCAGCTGTTGACCCTGATCCCAGAGGTGATGGGCACGTCATCGGTATATCGCTCGAGTCAACGTGTTATCAATTTTGCAGAATTGTGCTTTTATTGTGTCAAGAGACAGCCAGCGATATCACATGGTTCTCCAGCATCTCCCGTACATCCCCATAACGCCCGAGATGTTGGAGCAGTGAAGGCCAATGTTTTCGAGATTGTCGATATTTCCAAGGAGTACTACTACGGGGATACTAATCCATACCATAGCATTGCAAACATATTCTAGGTATAGTAGGACTCCTGACCGGTACTTATATATGATTGGGACAAGCCACTAGCACCGGTATTACCTGTCGTTTTGTGGTCATCGTTTTGAAGGGGGCGCCAGTAAAGTCTTGATTCGCCTTGCTGCGAGTCAGAGTGGTCCAGAAAGCGGTCCTCGCTTGAGGAACACGGGGCATTCGTTCAGAGACTTTGTAAGGAAGTCTGACCAACCCGCTGGCGGCCGTGCTGGTGTTCGTTTAACACCCGAGGGGATCCTCTCAGTAACTGCCTTCTTCCTACGGTCAGAGTATTCATAAAAATTGCCAAAAAGGGAAACAGGATTAGCTGGCTGGAAAGAAACCTAGCAACCCGATAGGGTCATTTTGGGAAGTGGGAAGAATGAGTATTTGGAAAATGTACAGCACGGGGTCACATTTATCGTTTCGCGTCAGAACTTTCTGGAACTAACCGGAAGGATGTCGGCATGTGGGAACGGGGCCTTTTAAAAGTACCCAGCTATCACCCTTTTTTATCATTGTCTTCCCGTACGAGCTCTAGCTTCCATTCACCCGTGTTGCCAGTTGATGTAGTTTAGATGGAAAGAGGGAGTTTGTTTTTTAGGGAACCTAGCTTAACCCTATTAAAGTTGCCGTACGGTGGGAATGTTTCTTATAATATTAAAATATAAAGCAAAAATACATTTTGGTCTATAGAATGTAGAACAATGTGTTATTTGGGTTCCTTTCGTTGGAAGGTGAAACAAGTGGAAAAGAGAACTAGAAGCGAGTAAAATGAGCAAATCAACTGCAAAAAGTACACAACAGCTGACATATGCTATTGATTGAGTACTGCAAAATACCAGTAAACAAGCCTTTATTGCACTCTCTGAACACACACACACCCACAACCAATGTGCAGCTCTGCCATCGTTGGCACAATCGTTTTTCAGCTAAAATCTTCTGATCGTTCTTCAGTATCTTATCAACTTGAACGGCGCCGTTTCCTTGCATAATCAGACTGCGGTCAGACTATGGGGATCAAATTCCGGTTCGAATCACCCACATGACATATACGTACCCAGATGTATGTTGCTTTGTGTACTCTGTACCGCATTGCTCTGGGGATCAACTGACTAGGATCAGACCGTCTGTAGAGGGAAATTCGGGTCAGGGCTATTTATGTGAGCCACCTGAGCAAAACCCCTTTCGAAAGCTCCTAAAATTTCTGAAGAGAAGTCGAGTGCATGGCGCCATCTACAAACAGAGGACCAATCCCCTATAAGATCATACCTCTGACGAGTTTCGTCTTTAATTGTCGGCTTTACTGATTTCACTCATCCATCAGCGTTTTAATTTTCACTGAACTATGTGAACCTTTAGAAATTCAATCAGAAATTTTTTTCGACGAATTTATAATTTTTTTTAAATTTCTCTCCCATTCTGCTTTTGAGGTGGCCTTATTCATAGAAAGCTGATCGTAAGGCCTATGCAATGACTGCGGTGGCCCACGGATACCCACGTCGGTATTGTATCCTCCCATTCGGGTCTGGTACCCACTTAATCGACCCAGAGGGATAGAAGGCTTCGACGCGCGTCGGCCGGGATTCATTCCCTAGGCCATGCGTGTGTGCTAGTGCGCCTTCTGCCACTAAACCACCGCCCATACACCCTCGATCCTAGTCTACCTAAATCTATAAAATACATAAAAACTTTATCTACATGTTATCATACAAAAACTTAATAATACTATTTATAATATATAACATATAATTATTATGAGTGAAAAACCCTAGGGTAAGGCAAGTGGAGTGAAAAGCGAGTGCAAATACCCGAATACTTAACAGAGCAAAAAGACGAGGAGCTAGCCAAATCATACATATCCAGTTCACCTATGATCAAGAGGGTTGGACTGGGTTGTTGCCAAGAAGGCTGACACGCTTCAAAATCCTCCTATATCGCAGGATACGACATTTGGTGGCGGCCACTGCTAGGGATTCCTTTCGCCTTCGCAGATAACGTCCTCTTTCCGAGCTGTCGACTTCGTGACGACACCTTCAAATGGAAATATGCTTGAAAGAAGATGGATTACGCCAAAAGGCCACCTACGCTTTGGCATCTGGACAACATTTGGACAGTCGTGAACAGTGCTGTTTCAGGACATGAACTCTACTACGACATGGCTCGTTCTCAAGGTTTGACGGCAAGGAATATGCATCACACTGCGATGGCTCCACCTAAAATCAGTAAAGTTCCGTACCTATCCAGCTTTTCCCCTTTACTTATTCAGATCGGACGAGCACCTACTTCGGTGATGTTCTGCCCAAGACGGTTCTTGATACAAGCGCCGTAGATTTCTGCAAGGCTTCTTGTCTCATCATCGACGGCCTGTCAATATTGGGAAGGAATGTGCGGGAAGTTCCAAAAAAAGCTCATTCTCACCTGATAGTCCGGGACAAGTTTCTCCTTGCAAGAACTTCGCCGTTTTCTTTGGTCTTCCAACAGTATACGACTAGCTTTCGTGCCGCATGCTTTTTCTTCGCGTGAAAGCTCGTCCAAACATAGGGAATACACTTCACAGTGAGAAAGTTTCAAGATCTGAAAGTGTCTGAGGTGAGAGATAAAATAGAGCCAGGTTTGACCTAAACCTGAACGTCCCTTTTTCCGAGTTCATTCAATTTGTGTACGGTGTGGAGACAGAGTCGAGATAACAACGAATAGAAAACAGCCAGAGTGATTTTGTAGGCCAATGACGCAAGTATAGCCCGGGGAAGATTATTCGGGTGGATTGGTAAGCCACCTGTCACTTGGGAGATCTGTATTGTACTAGTTGCTACAGAAAAAAATACAGAAAAAACACTACAACCATGGAAAGATGCAGGTAGGCGATAAAACCTACAAGCCCATAAAAGAATTAAAATTATAAAACAGGTAAACGTAAACAGTTTGTTAGGTAAGCGTTAGGTACTACAAGTAAATAGGTAATGCTGCTGCTTCGAGGCGAATTACCGAAGTAAAGCAATTCATTCCTTTAGATTCTACAATGAACTAAACTAGCCAAATTTAAGCTCCTCTTTTGGAATTTGTCACAGCCTAGGTTACGGTATAGATCTTAGCGATACAGTAACTATGGTCAAAATTCAAAATTTCAATTCAATTCAATTCAAAAATGGCCCATAAAGTTTGGTATCTAACGTGCTGTATTACGAATGAACAGGTAGGCGTACCGTTTCGGAAATCTGTAGAACTGAGACGGCATCTGCCGAGTCATTGCCGGCTGTGGACGAGTTGTCTGGGTCAGCTGACGGCTCCAGAACACTAAAAAGGGAGATTAGGTTCAAATTTATTATATATTTTGTCATTTTTCGTGAACCAAAAAAGGTCTCAACTAACCCTCGAGCTAACCTGCTGTATGTTTTGGCAGCCTGCATTCGCCTGCGTTTCATTTGGGGAAGGGGTCCGATAAAATCGCTCGAGGATTCCATTAAGGTGGGAAATGTCGCCTAAATACACTCCTCACAGTAACTACCAGAAGGGCTTCTTTTAAACGGGTGAGCATGAACCTACCGTCGTATCTGGCTGCTCCGTCGTGGAGATAGTAACGGTCGCGATTTGGTCGACGGCAACCATAGGTCCATCGACAGGATTGTTTTTAGGGAATGGGATCACCTCTACTTGAAAGCTACTGGCTGGTGGATCCAAAGTCCAATAAGGGTTCTTCATCGTCGGAATAATCGTCATTCTTTTTTGGTAAGTATCATTTTCGGAACTTGTTTTCTGATCAGTGTCATTTCCAAGATTCTTCTCATAGTAAAAGGAAGGTCCTTTATAAGTCAGTGGATCTGTGATGTCGGAAGGAAGGTCGTGGGTAGAAGAAGCCTGGGAAGATTGATTGGAGATTTCCTGAAATGGCATAACGTTCTTGCACTTTAGTGAAATAGTTCTGACTTTCAGGCGTAATGCTTTATTTTAAAAGCACAGTTTGCGATAAAAACTGATGAGGAGCTTCCTTCTCGGTACGAATCTGGGACTATTAAGCAGGCCACGTGGGCATTATAGGCCCAGAAGTACCTCATATAGGGTCATTGAGGGCTCAACATTCGGACCCGAAGCCTATGGCAGGGTAATCCTATCAAAATGGCCTGTTCAGATGCTTGGAAGACCGATATCGTTCGAAATACAACTAGCGCGTTGTCAATGCAGTCAGCTTATACAAGTATTGATTCGCAGCTAATGGAATCTCGTCCGAACACCTCGTTAGTCGTCACAATAACTCGTCCAACACTAGAAATGATTGATTGGAAAAATCCCTATGTTCCGGGTCTTGTTAGCCACCCTGCGTAAACCCTTTCATCCTCTCAGACAAAAAAGATGCAAAATGGTGAACTCATAGTGAACTGTGTCTTTAAAATCGTCCTACATAGGTACATACCGTAACTGGTCCACTGACGTTCACTGCCGAAGGTGTAGTCGGGTCTGGCCGGAAAGTGATCGTCTGAATCAGTTCTAAACATTTCGGAGTAGGCAGATCGAACCATCGGATAGCAAACCTCGTTGGAAATTCCGAGTGGTTCAAGATGTTGTTCTTCGAATTCCGACAAAGTTATGGTCGGTATCACATGCCGTTCATCTTCACCTACTGTTAACGGCTCCTCTACTATTGCCCCCTCAAGAGGGTTGTCTGGATCCTTGGTCTCTTCTGGTGTATTGCCCGTAGTTGTCGTTGAAGGAACCGATTCACTGAAATCTTTAACTATACGAGAATAGTAATAAAGGTAACAACTTTCCAAAAACATGCTCAAACTCAGAGAAGAAGGATAGTGAATGGTTAAAATGGTCATACCTGGTTGTAGTCGCTTGTGTAAATTTCGGTTTTGCTGATACATCCGTAGTGAACAACACTTTGTTTTTGTTTGTTTCCTTATTGGGTTTACGGATGCGATAGAATCTTTCTGAAGACAACATCCTTGAGCCTATCACTCTTCATCTGGGGACATTCTTCATGGTCAACAAGGTCATAGTATCTATATTCGAGGGTGAGGAGTGGGCCTTTACGTCAGGATGCGGACATGCGACGAATGGTCAAATAGCTCGCCACAAACCGCCCTCTCTGGTTTCTCTCTCCGCGACGATGCCATCCTCTCCACCTCACATCCCCGTTCAGGAGATTTTCAAGATCATATAGACTTTTTGAAAGAGAAGGGACCTACGAAAGTGCTTTCCATTGAGTTATCGCCAGGAGTTTCCACTATCTCTTTCCCTCCCACATCGAATTTTTTGGATTTGGGGAAAGAGAAGGGAAGGTTTAGCTAATGTGCGAGCCCTAACAAAAATTGAATCTACGGTTTGGAGCCTAGTCCAACTAGGTGGTGGAGTTTTTGAGCTGTCCGTTCATTCCGGCTTCCAGAGCCGTTGTAACCAAGTCGCATTACACACTTATTTGGCAACCATGGAGTATGATGGTTTTCCGAATTCGATACTTGAAAGTGTAAGGTATCGGGAAGTATCGAGGATAGATCACAATGGGAGGGGTTACGAGGTTACTTCACGCTCCGTTCAATCTCAAATTCTGCTGATCATCGAAGAAAAATGTCTGACTCACCTGACGTCAATCCCAAATTAGTTTTGGGTTTAGTTAATGCCGTGACTTTTCGTTGTTTGAACACAACGAATGGTGGGGGAATCAGTTGGAATTCTTGTGGCTGCGATGATGGAATGCCATTATCGTCGAAGTCGGCAATATCGTCTGTTGACAGTTGAGCATTTCGTTGAGATAATAGCTTTTGCTCTTGCTGTAGAACATCTTCGTATATCGCATCCTCCGTTGAAAGGTATGTCTTTCTGTAGAAAACTTCAAGTTATGCCATAGCCACTTCAAACTCATTTATGAAGTTGACAAGACGAGACATTTCGACTTTACATTTGGGTCTCCCTGTCCCTAACTCAGCTAGCCGATTCCGGCTGTCCCTCCCGGGAAGGAGGAGGAGAGTTCTTGAGTGAAGAAGATGCCAATTGCCTTACCGACTACGACTTCCTTCCTTTTTTCCACTGATAGGCTGGATATCTACGTATACCTAGCCTCGGACCTTCATCCCCAATACGGGCCTCTCAAGCACTTGCTGCATTTCTCAGGAGGGATATGTTTGAGAACGGAGGTAAAGTCTGATATGCAGTGGGAGGCAATCCCCAGTCCCCCTCTCGTATGTTTCTTGGAGGGTCCCCTGGGCTCGGGGCAGGAAGCCACCCGCACGGGGTACACTGAATATGACACACTGGCGTAATCAAAATTTCAATTCAAAATCAATTTTTAAGTCGCATTTTAATAGGGACACACCCTAATGGTGTCATAACAAAATAAATAAACAAGTAAATAAACATCCAAGGAGGTAAACCTCTTCTTCTACTGAACGTCTACAAAACCCACTTTTTCTCAGGTCTGAGGACATGCGCTGAACGATCCGTCATGACTGATCCATCGCCTTCTACTGGGGATCGCGAAAGTGGAGTCACTCTGAGAATGAAAATAGATAGCTAGGGTTCTACTTTAGAACCATTTTGGACAGCTCGAGTTTGAAATGTTGCTTACCGTAATTTATGCTGAAGCCGATTTCGATATGGAATTGCTATGTCAGTCAAAACTTCAGTGTCTTTTGGATATATTGCGAATTCATCTCTGAAGGTGTGACTTGGTCGGATCGCATTTGTGACATCACCAACGATTTTTGAACGTATCGGTCCTCGTTCACGTTTTCCCGATGTTCGGCCGATGTTGTAGTACTTTTGCTGAAATTTTTAGTATTAAACGTATCGATCAGCCAGAAAATGAAGCTCAGAGTACCTTCCGCTTCGATGTTCCTTTCCAAGTGGATTTTCCACGTTTCACAAGCTTGAAACGGTTTGACCATGGCCTCCGTATTCGGAGACTGTGTTCAGAATCCACTATTGGTGATTGACGAAATGGTTTTCGGAACAGATAAAGCGGTGTTACAGTAGAAGTGTCAGGAATTGGATAGATGGTCGTGCTTGGAAAGAATGGGGTGGCAGGAGGCGGTGATGTTGTAGTTTGAGCAGGAGAATATTCGCGATATGCATTAACTGAACAAATTTTCGGAGTAATGAATGAGTAATGAATAGGTAGGTGGACAAAACTCACCGCTATATTCCCGTTGAGGAATGGGTGGAATCGGTGGAGGAAAGAATGGATTCTGTAAGGTTCGATCGATAACCAAATCTACCACGAGAGGTGATGAAGCGGATGGTGGAGGTGGTGGAGTCACAATAGGAGCAACATGTCCACGACTATGTCCACTTCGTGTATTTCCTTCCTTCATCAGCTCTTGAAGACGTTGAATCCGAAGCATTTCCGCCGTGCCATCCACTGAATTCGTAAGAGAGGTAGCAATCGAGGGGACCTTTCAGAATGAACGATTTCCTATCATTATCAAATCATATCCATAATCTTTATTTACATTTGCTTACGAGCCCTTCTTTGAGCGCCATGGACATATGAATAAATAAATAAACAATAAACAAGCTAGTAAATCTACCAACCTCTGCTAGTTTCTTCGTCTATTGTTAGAATTGGTGCATGTGGATCGAATGAGTCGGTAAATGGTCGAACTACTGATATTTCGCGTCTCCTCTAAAAAATCCACATAGAAAAAATTATTGTAATTGCTATACACTGCCTATAGTGCAGTACATGCCCCACTACTGCAAAAATAAGGCAAGAAAGTTTTCGGTGGACGAGTTTCCTAGCTTTCTAGAAGACTTGCTTAGGGAATGTTTCAAAACTTTTGAAATTAAGCTAATTTGTTTGCTATGCTGAAAAGCTATGGCATATAAGCCATAAAGAAGGCGAGGACAAGCGGGGTCTCAGTAGTGCAAGGGATAGAGCACGGTGCTCGGATGGCGCAAGCATGGATTCGAGTCCCGTCGGCGGCTGAATTTTCGTCCATAAATCGCCATTCTTGTGAGGTTAGACTAATTTTTTTGGTTCTCTTTGGAAGGGTGTACAAACCAGAAATGTTTATGTTTACACATTTCTTCGGGTGAAGCATGGTGTTTATGTAGTCTGTGAAGGCAATCCAGCACTTTACGCTTCACCATCTTCGCCTGGAGTTCTTCCAAAACGAAGAAAGAGAACATATTCCCATAGCTACAACTTTTTCTAAGAAAACTACACCAAATTATTATATTAATTACATTCACTGACTCACCGTATAGCGTGGTGCAGCAAACATACGAGCGGGGTACCGTTCGCTTTTTGACGACGGTTTCCTTCTATAGTCTGACTTGAACTTAGATTGCCATATCGCAGCCTTCACTTGGGAGGTTATGGGTGATGATGAGGCTTCAGTGACATTATTGCTGTCCCTTCTCTCTACAGCTGTAGATTTAGACTGTATTCGTTCATGAGCAGGAATCGATTTATCATGCTGAAATCATTAATTTTGAATAATTTTTCCTGAAAAATAATCGCTCTACATATAGGCAATCGGAGCTTGTAAGCGGAGTCATTTACACCCCATTGGTGTATCCCTTGTTAAAAAATCAATCTACCAATGGGGATTGTGCAATCATCATTACTGTTTCGCCCACACGCTCATCTTGAGAGCCGATCAGCCGAAAACTGCTGATTTATTGCTTATAAAACGTTTCTGGTCTACAATTATCTCATAAAGCGACTCTGCAGGGGTCAGTTCTTACTTCTGAGCCAGCCATGTACGCTTAAAAGTACTATACTAATCCTCCGTTGAGTGATACGAAATTCGAAAGGAAAGACGTCGAGTGGTGGACTTTCTCCTCTCGTACCAATGTTTACATTCATTACTTTAGTACGATCAAGGGAACAAAGTTCGGAATGCTACCCGCCTAAGCCAGCCCACTATTTCAGTGTCCGGGAGCTTAACTTGTACCTGAATTGAAACTACAAGCCGCTATCTTGGCAAAGTAGTCATTCAAACTGTATCACGATTTTTAATGGAAGTGGGATGCATGGGCGCCTTCCAGAACCGGACTGATCAACTCCGAGAACGAATTTCTTTATCTAATCAATGGAATTTGTCGTTAGGGATCTTGATCACAGGGATTTTTTATGCAAAGAAGTTTTAACATCAAGAAAAACTCACAGATGTTTTGTCCGAAAGCTCCTCTAGCCCTTGCATCAGATCTAATGCCGATGTCACGGCTCGCATTGTGTTCGAGTCGCTTTTTCTGAAAGAAATAAATCGAAAAATCATTTGGCCTTATTGTGCTTCTTCGACGACGTTGCGTTGTTGAGTAAACAACGAATTATCGTACTAAAAAGGTAAACAGCGTTTTCATTCCTCGATAAACAAAACACTGGCACAATTAGGAAGGGATTTATCCAATGCCGTCGCCAGAGTTCTTAGAAAAGGCCTACGTTGGAGCCATCAAATAAAATTGGGACCTATTGAGTTTCATAAAAACAAAAATTATATCATATT